ACATACATACATACATACATAACATGCATTCATATGTACATACATATATACAAACACATACATGTACATACATGTACATACATACATACATCCATCCATACATACATACATACAGACATACATACAGACAGACATACATACATACATACATACATACATACATACATACATACATACATACATACATACATACACACACACATACATTACATTACATTACATTACCTTACCTTACGTTACGTTACGTTACATTACATTACATTACATTCCATTACATTACATACATACAGACACACACAGACAGACAAACAGACAGACAGACAGACATACATACAAGGGATATGATTACTAGGTATCGCGGGCCCGAGATGAGGCTCCCCCCTTGCCTGTGTCGGAATCTCGTCCAGGCTTTCCTCGCACCAAGCGGGGGCCGGCGCTGAATTATAGTCGTACTGTTGATGATAGGAATCCTGCATTACCTTAAGGACCCTAAACTATGGGAATCATGGTATATTCCTTATTATGGGTAGTGCAGGATTTCTATCATCAATCGAATGTAGCGCGCTCCTATGACAATGGTGACAGGAAGGCCCAGTTTAGAACAACCGGCCGCTTACACCTGAAAGGGTTCGTGGTGTGGATCCCCCATCATTCGCTGGAAGCTTCACCTTAGAAGTTAACATTAAGCTCTATAGCACGTTGGAGCCTTAAGCCTTAGGTGACTTTAATCCCAGTGGCAGCCGGGGTTACTCAATTTACTCATCAAACTCACAACGCATAGCTCCACCTGGCTCCGAATTACTCCGACAAAGCCCTCACACATCCCCTGTTCGACTCCGGAAGGCCATAGCCTATTCAGCCCCAAACCCCAAAACCCTCAACCTTAATTTACACACAAAGAGCTGCTGGCCATGATTTGCCGGTCCTTCGAAAGCTTGTTGCCAAGAAACGCTACCAGCGGAGCCATGTTGATCTGCAGGTCCTTCGGTGCGATGATACGGTGGGCATGGACAAGAAGTGTCAATACAAGCACTCAGTGACGCAGCCATCGTGATGCGAGGGTGGTGGTGAGGTGAAGATGCCGGCGATGCCCTCCGGGTGTCGTTTTGGCGGTGAGGCCTGCTTTAGATGATGACATCGATGATGATGATGATGGAAATTAGGAGGTTGAAAGTGCGCAATCGAAAGAGGATGGTGATGGTATCTCGTTTCCCGCCTGATCTGCCGAAGCTGCGAGGTATCTGCAGCCAACTCTCCGATGGTGATGTTGATCATGATGGAAGGGTTAGCAGTGACAGCGGTAGTGGCCATGATGCTTGTGACGATGATAGTGATGATGACGCCGATAAAGATGACGCTGGTGATGGCGATGACGGAGGTGCTGATGTTGCAGACAGAGATGTTGCTGCTGGCGACATACTTGGAGAGGCTCATCGATATGGCGCGGTCATGTGTCCGGGGCAGAAGAGAAGGACAATTCTCAGTAAATAGGCAGGACCGACGCCGCGTTGCCGCTTTGGGTTTGCTACAAAACATACGACTGGCAATTCAACCCAAAATCGTCGCTGTTGGACCTAATGTTTCAGGTGCTGAATACTGGCGATGAGCCTAAAGATTATGTCATCAAGGTCAATGAGCCTTGTCTCTCATTATGCCTGAATGCAGGCCTCCGCTCAAGAGCGATCGTGCTGACGAACCGAATACATCACGCAACCCCTGCAGATGTTAATACTGTCAAACACGGAACACCGACATACCCCAAAGCTCGGCACAGCTCCCTGACTCATGCTTGCCCGTCATTGAATTAATTATCGCATACTATCACTGACCAGCTGCGTCAGTACTGAGAATGGCAGTTTCGACTGCTACGTGTTATTACTGACATAGTTCAACCATGTTCGTACTGAAACCGTTTTGGTAGCGTGTGCCAATACCCCTACTCCTACTCTGTACCGAAAGCCAGCATCATGCTCTGCAAGACTTTCAATTCCCAACTCAAAACGCCAAAGCCCTCGCAAATAGTTCTCGCTCCCTTCTCCCGCTCACTCGCCTTGAATTGCGCGCGAAGCGCTCCGATGGACCAAAGATTGCTAAGCGTTTCCTGGCTTCAGGCGTTGATTCCTGGCTTCAGGGGCTGATTCAGTCGATACCACGGGGGTGGGGCGGTTTAGGCTTAGGGTTGCTCCCGCTCGAAGCTTAAATCAGCAGCTTCGGAAGTTCAGGAACTAGCGCAGCCTTGAACCGGTAGCAAACACTATGCCAAAGCCCCCAAAGCTCCAAACCCCCAAATTTTTACCTTTCGCAGGCTTAGGACAAACACTGCGACCGACTGGACATGGGTTGCGGTATTCAGAAGCTCTGTCTTGAGTCGTGAGGTTTACGGTTAGGGTTTAGGGTTTTGGGGCTGATGCAAGCTGGGAGTGTGGCAAACTATGGAAAAAACTTCTTAAAGAGCATGCAGCAAACGCAGGGTGTCAGAGACCAGCCACAATCGTGCGAGCATGCGAGAGTACGTGAACTCTCGTCTCGTCCATGGTTCAGGGTTTACGATCAAGGCTCCCGCTTATAGGGACAGCCGCCAGGTCCTCCACAAGTAAAGTTAGGATGGCCTTGCCTTTCGGGGTGCTTTAGGCAACGGTTCAGGGAGCAATGTTGAGGTTGCTTTATGCATCTTTAACGTTCAAGGGTGGTCGGTAAGATCTGCGGCTTCGCGAGTTTTGATGGCAAAGAATACCAAGCCGAACTGTATTGGCGGCATGAATATCAGTGCATAGATACACACTCCTAAGTCTACAAGCCCTAAACCTTAAACCCTATGGGCCCTATAGATTAAACCGAATTATGCAGCCTCCGGCGTGAGTTTGGGAGCGGTCTTCGCCAGTCGCACCACGAGCACAGGAAGCACTCCCTGGCAAATTTGGAGCTTGGGGTTCGAAGGTCGTCTTTACCTCCCACAGGGGATTACGGGTTCGACTGGGGCTGAGGATTCAAGGCTTCCGGGTGTTCTATCGTTTTTTACGAGGAGTCGACACATGTGGAACAATACCCGGAGCACTGGACTGGAGGGCTTTATGCCATAATTACTATGGTACTCTGACTGTATCCTGAACCATCAAGCGCAAATTTGGAAACCGTTAGCCCTAAATCCTAAAGCCTGAACCATCGAAGCACAACAGAGGGACTCCTGGCGTGGCTATGTGTTTCAGGCAGGTTCCGAGCCTCCATCGCAGCCGGGGTTCTGAAAACTCGCGGTCGTTTCTTGCGGGGCGTTACAATAAGGGGTCGATGGCGCCCTGGAGATGCAGCAAGTCGCTGTTTTCGGGCTTTGGGCTAAGGGTCATCGTACATGCGCACGCCGGACCAACAAACGTGAGACCTAATGTTCGAACCTGATTCAGAAACCCTGGTCCTATAACCCCAACAAAATATTAGGATCCATGCACAAAGCCCTTCTACTTTGGACTCAAGGTTTCTTATAATCAGGCTCCTGTATTACACCGCTCCTGCCTGCAGCATCGGCGACTCCTTGCACAGCTCCGCCACGGCCCACAACGAGTCTGTGGTTCCTGTGGCCTCACAGAAACGAAGCGCCTACTACCATTATTCTGTTGTGGGGGTTGGGGGTGAGGGTGTTGCAATCATCCCGGTAGATCTTGGTGGCTCCTGCCCTTGAATTCTCGCACGGTAGCAATTGAAGGTTAGAATGAAAGAATGAACTATTTCCGACCGAGCCGAATATCCTAAAGGTGCTTAAAGCGAGAAAAGGCAAACTATCCTGTCTCTATAAATTTCCTTCACTGTTGCTTTCAGGATTCCAGTAGTCCTCATTTCAGATGGCAAGCTCAAAGCAGGCCGCAGCCTCTACAATCTTAAGCCCCGAAATCAGCACAAGCGTCTGCCAACAAATGTCGAAACTCTCTTTTGCCCTTTTGCCGACGAAACTTCGGCGAAGGAGGCACATTCAATCGAATCTGTGTTTTCAACGACAAGGTTGCAGCGGCTCTCAGCGATGGCTTAACTTGGGCGCGCGTGATTACACCCTGAATTTGACCCGAAACCCTAAACCCTAAAAGCAGCATCGCGGATGCTTTTGGAGAGGGCTGCGGTTTTGCTGAGGTTTCCTCAGATGCAGCCAACACGGCAACTGCGGCCATCAAGGCCAAATGAAGTCACGAAGCTGCAGAAGAGCTGGTTCGCCTCAGTTGTCAATTTGGCCCCCCCAATCTTGTAACAGAGTATAGAGTATAACTAATTACAAGCAGAAGTGTATGAGTACCAACCGGCCGTGCCATCTGTATGTATGTTTTCCATACAAGTACATAGGTTGCATAAACCGCCCGGCCAGGCACCACCAGAAAGCACTGTTGACTCCATGCTCGCTGAAGTGCAGCGAAGGCGCTTGACCACGCAGCCACACACCTGTGGCATTCAGCTCCTCAGCAGCCAGCCTCCGCGACACAGAGCCATTGTGCTGAAGGCTGAGCCCTGAACCCTAGGCCTTAACCCTCAGACCAGCTTCAGTGTGCTCTCCCTGCCTTGCTCCTCCCTGGGCGGGCGTAGTTGGCCCCGTCGGCTCCGGAAACAAGTAGTTTGGACCGGTGGGCTCCCCAAAGAAATAGTCCCAAACCTCGGCCGGGCACGTGGCAAGTCACCCGAGAGGTGGCATAACAACTAGATAACAAGTATACTGGTCTCTTCAAACAGGAACATTCATAGATCAGAATGCTTTTTTGAACGCTCAGAGAACTGACAACCCTATTCGGGGTTCAGGGTCAACCCTTGGCCACACACTCTCATTCCCAAGAGCTCATTGGTTTATCGTTTTGTAATTGGGGCCTCAGCGTTCCTCAGCTTTCGGAGCTTCTGAATTTATGGGTCCACCTACGGAAATCCTTAAACCCTGAAGCCGCAGTTCACCCTGTGCCTAAACCCTAGCACCGTGCTTCTATTCTGGCCGCCAAGACACTGCCTTTTGTGTTTCCATCCACTCCTCCATGGCAAGCCTCCGGCAGAACGGCGACTTGTCGGGGCGGTCCGGGATGAAAGCTGTAGGCTTCGGGGGTTTCGGGGGAATCCTAGAGCTGACTTCCCAAAAGCCCATGGTTTCAAACAGCTAAACTTTCAGGGAAGGACTAAGCCTTATCATAGCCCCATCCTTGCAAAAGTTGGATTTTGGACCGCTAGAGCAAAGCCTTAGGCCTAGGCCCCAAGACGGTAGGAAACTAGGGCAGCCCAGCTGAGGTTTCTAGGAGGGAGGAGGCTCCTGGATTTTGGGGGCCTTGGGGTTGTGGATCTCTTAGGGTTTATAATTTGTAGGGCTTAGGCTTCATGCCTTAAGGTGTCTCCGAGCTTGAAGTATCTATGTATAAAAATGCTGCAAACCTCTGTGTCCGATCGGGTTCACTAGTATGCCTGTGCATGCGCATCCGTACCACGGGGGCATCTTGGACCATGCCCCGAAAGATCCGTTGAATTTCTGGGGCCATGTACGAGATGCGCAACCCTAAGCTCGTCCCACACTCGAAACTCCAGACCCGCAACCCAAATACCCCAAGCATCGAGCCCCAAATCTTGAATATATCCTCGGGGCCTTAACGATGGAGTAGTATACTGATAAAGGGACTATGTTGCAAGGTTTTTTGCCCACCAACTTTTTCCATACTCTATACCCTAAACCCCATAACACCCTGTACAGTATTGGACATGACGGGCCTGGCGCCCCCCTGGGAGGGGGTCGGACCAGGGACCTTGTTCTTCACAGCACCACCTGATACGCTTTTAGGGTGCCTTGGGGTGGGGTTTGTTTGTCTACCTTTTTTTTTGCACACATACATAAATACAACATGCAAGTTCATTATTTTATAAATATATGGGTTTAGGGTTCAGGGTTTACGGCCGGAGTTTTCGGTTTAGGGCTTAAGGTGCTTTGGCTTGCACCTGCAGTTTACGTAGGGCAGGACTTGGGGTTCACGGGTGAGGGTTTTAGGTTCTCGCTTTGCGGATTGAAAGGCTCCTGCTTCTGCGGGGGATCCGCTGTCTTCTGAATGTCGATGTTGGGCTTCAGGGCTTTCGGGTTTACCTCTGTGGGGTTAAGGGATCGGATCCATTCAAAGCTGTACTGTGAAATTCTTGAAAGGGTAGTTTGGGATCTCGTGGTGAGTGGATCAGGTCGGGAGAAATAATCTGAAAAGTCAGAATCGGTTTTCGGATAAAACGGGAATAGCAGTACCTGGCGACTGAGGCTCCTAGTCTACACAAGAATCTGGCGAAACTTAAAACTCACATGAAGAGCCCTCTATGAGCGTGCAGTTTAAGGCCTTGGGCTCAAGGTCTTATATCCCAAGCGATGCAAACGCCCGGCCGGGCTCACTGAAAAGAACTCTGCCGCGAATTATGAGGGATCTCTGCTACCAGTATGATTCGATGTAAGTTCGCATTTGGTCTCTCCTGCGCCTCAGTCGTGCCTGAGTCATCATCATCATCACCAGCATCACCATAACCGTCGCCACCGCCTTCATCATCACCATCATCATCATCATCCTCACAATACTGATCATCACCACCACTATCATCATCACCATCATCTTCATCACCATCACCATCACCAACATCATACTTGCACCCATCACAACCACCACCATCATCATCATCATCATCATCGTCATCGTCATCATCTTCATCGCTGTCATCAAGAACAGCAGCATAAGCATTATAGTCTCCTTCTTCATCACCAGCACCACCACCACCATCATCATCATCATCACAAGAATAAAAATAGCAACACGATAATAACAATAATCAGAAAATGATGGTAATAAAAAATAGCAATAAAAAACAAACAAATAATAAATAAGCAAATAAATAAGCAAAGTGAATACATAAACAAACAAACAGCGTGATATTTACCAAGCTCACCATCATCATCAATAGCGTAATGAGAATCACCAGCGTCATCATCATCATCTTCTTCTTCTTCGTCTTCATCTTCTGCAGCATGATCACTACCAGCAGTCCCGAAGCCTGGCCTGATACGTTGTCGCGCGCTTTGGCATAGACGCGTAGCAAGCATGCTTTGGCAAGGCGCTGGGATTCGATCTCTTTGTCACAGGCGCCACCTGGCAGTGGGTTCATCATGTTGCGCTGGGTCTGGCCAGGATTGCTTGTCAGCACGGAGGAATCATGTTCCTAGATTTGCCCGCACTTTATCGTTGCTGCGAGCTGCTGCAGCCAAGGCAGCGGCAGAAGCTGCAGCAATAGTAAAGCGTTGTGACTATGCTAATGGCTTTAACGAGGCTGCTGGTGACAACGAGCACGAGAATAATAAAGATGCAGACGAACGAAGAGGATGATGATGCGGATCGTGATGATGCCGATGGTGTGGTCAGGGGGGTGTCAATGGTGACGAGTTTGACTAACATTCGAATGGTCGTAGTGATGATGGAACTATCATAGTAATGAGTGATGGTGCTGGATGCTGCCATGATGTCGCAGAATGTGACTGTGGTGATGACGATTGCAATTCGCACCAGCAGCAGCTGCAGCTGCTGCATGGTATTGCTATGGTAGCTGATGCTAGAGTTCTCAGTATCAAGTTTCCACTTCAAGGTGTCGTATTCACGGATTTGGCTCAGCGCATGAAAATGCAGGGCACATGCTCAACCCAATAGTGCTCACCGCGCTGAAGCATCCGTTGTGGGAGGAATTTCATCCATCTTCTCAGAAACAAGAACCTGACAAGCTATTATTCACCCTGCGACGGGGATACGGCGTCTTCTCCCCTCAACCCGAAGCCCCGACTCCGGTGCTGCGCAGCCTTCGACGGAAATCAGAGCTCCGCCTGCACAGGTCATGGGCATTGGGACTCTCGTAAAGCAAGAACGATACTCACCAGGAGATGCTCAAGCAGGTTCCTATAATTCATGAGCATAATGGGAACAGCTGCTAGCACGACGGTCGCAGCACCAAAAGTTATGACAACGTCAACCAGAAGCAACATCAGTAGCTCGCGCTAGCACCTGGGGCAGATTCCAAGAATGGTACTGATAGTCATAGTCATAGTCATAAGGTCAAGAACAGAGAATACGCGTATCTTGGCGACCTTAACCTTAATCATGGTATTCATTGAGAAGTGTGGGTGTGTGGGTGTGTGTGTGTGTGTCTTTCTGGACATGCATGGCGCCACCGTCATCGCAACAAATTTCAGGCTGCTTTTTCCCAGGTTTGCCCGGGATTCTCGGTTTCTTAGGAGTTGGTGGATCTAGGTTTCGTCCGGAGGAGTTCAAGGTTTGAGGTTCATTTCTCGTTCTCCCAGAGTACTCGGAGTCGGGACTCGACTCGTGTTGGCTTCCCTGAGGAAAGTTCTTGAGAGGAGAGGGCGGGTGGTCACGTCCAGGTACGACTCACTGAAAACCTCGACGACTGTCACTCATGCTCTTGATAGTTCTGGTTCTGTGAAAGTCAGCAGGCATGCCATTCGCAAATTTGGGGCGGATTCCAGACGGTTTTCGTGGGGCTCAGAGACCACCTGGACGGTGTGACGATTCACGAAGCTTCAACGAGACTATAGTGCGATGCAACACAACGGCAAAAACAAAGAGTTCAACGGGGTAGGCACAGGCACCCGGAAATACCGATTCCGATGCAGGAAGATGCTCGAACAAGCAAGTGCGACTCCCATAATTTTCTGCAAACCGGAAACGCAACGCCCCATCGCAACAGTTGCTGCTTTGGCCCATAGTTCTGGGACTACTTCTTTGCGCAATGGCCAAACTCATCGTGCCGGTGTACATATTCCTATCTATGCTTCCTGAGAAAGCCAAGCACATGCCCAAAGCCTAAAGCACCGACATGAAAACCCCAGCTAGCTAAGTAAATGGACCCATGAGCCAGGCAGGGCTTCCACTTCCTGCAAAACACGCCTTCGGATTGGCGCGCAGTGCCAAGCCGCACCGTGGGCAAATCTTCTGACGCCATCTTGTGTGGCGACGGAGTGTGGCAACGTAGCTGCTAACGGACTGGAGCCACAGTGCTACGGCAGAGACGCGCTTCCTTCACTACGGACACTCCTCGCTGCAGTGGTAACTCGCCGTGTCATCCTGTAACTCGGAGGCTATCTTGCAGGGTAAGAGAGGTATAAGTGCCGCAAGAGGGGCTCTAAATTGCGGTATGACACTTATATACCTCTACAGAATCACGACTCCCCGAATCTCCTGTCATCTCCCATGCTTTACTGTGCATGTGCGCCTGCAGGTCCAGCCCTCGTCCCAGCAGTGTGTCAGCGATCGTGCCGATTTGCTTCTGACAAGGCAGGTGGCTTTGGCGCCTCCATGTTAGATGATACTTGAGGAATATCGGAGCAGACTATGGTGCTTTAGATGTCCCTGAAGGTATCCAGAGTTTAGGTTTATTTAGCTAAGCTCCAGACACCTGGGACACAATGGGCATGCCAGATCCGCGCAAAACGATCAAGGGGTCGGGGTGTAGGCCACTATTCGTCGTTTTGTTGAAAGTCCTTTTAGCGATACGGCTGCCAACTGTCGGAGGCTCTTGTTATCATAAACCCTAAACTGTTGGTGCTCGGAGGCTCTGCCATATGCACGGTGTGTCGCAAAAGCTTCCCCGAAGCATCCAACCCAATATAGGAAACATAAAAATTTGAATAGGGCTTTGGGGTGTATGTTACTACAACATAGAACCGTAAGGAATCGTATCGGTAAGCACTTCGGCTTCTATGCCACCCTATATTGCCTACTGGTGAGGGACGTGGCTTTCGGATACTAGCAGCAACGATTGCAGGTTGGAAGTCTGAATACACCCTTAACCACTATACACCCTGCAAGCCCGAAGGCGCGAAGACCCAAAACAGACCCTAGACCACAATTTAGGGTTTAGGGACCCTAAACCCTAAACCGTGCAAGCCGTGATGAAGAAGTGTGTTCTGCTTCAGGCTCGGTTTTTAGGTAAGCTTCGGGGGCCCTGGATCCTGCATTCGACCCTGCAAAGACCGAGGGGTCTAAATGCTATGTACATGTATATGTAAATTGGATATGTGTATACACATGTAAACATATTATATGTATGTGTATACATATATATATATATATCCATACATACACATAATTACACATATACACACTATACATGCAGATACTGTACTCTACATAGAGAGAGGCCCCAAAGTATCTAATTATACAGGGACTCCTTGTCAGACCAAAGTATAAGGCTCTAGGAGTACGTGGACCCTTGGAACTTGGGTTCCAGGGAGCCAGGTCTACAGTTCATGAATTCGCGAGCAGAGCTTTTGACACCTGGAGAAAAAACCTCGGGGCTGAGGGTTGAGGAGTATAGTGTAGGCTTTTTAGGGTTTAGGGTTCAGGGTTTAGGGTTCAGGGTTTAGGGTTTTAGGGTTTAGGGCTTAGGGTACAGTGCAGGACACCCATGGAGTGGGTGCGGGATTTTGGTTGCTCTTGTGCAAGCAACATACGTCTGCAAAGCTTTTGGAATTGGGCGAGCTTAGACTCAGGGTCCATACACCTCTCTGTTGTGCATACACACTAGCCCTAAACCTACCATAGCGGAACCCTTTGCGGCTAAAGCATCTGCGACATAGGCCCATTGATCGCTACGAAATCGTGCTGTCGATCCTCGAATTATGTACCTAGAGGAGCCCTCTCGGATCCTAACGCCCCAAACCCCAAACCCGTGGGGTGCCCCCTTACAGAGCCGTCAGGACACGCCCCTAGAACCCACATAAAGCCCGTACATGAGCCCTTAACTGTCGTTAGAGCGGTGCTTCTCCTTGAGCTGGGGCAAGTCCCTTCGGAAGGTGGCGATGGCGCGCAGGGTGGCGCCCAGCTCCTACTCTTCCCAACTGACTGGGGATTCGGGCTTCCGACAACCAGCACGTGTAAGGTTCGGGAGTCGGGGTTTGGCAGCTCAATTTTCTGGCTTTTGGGCTTGCTGCTGAAGTTAGGGAGACGGCAGTTTGCGGCAAAGTGATCATTTGCTTAGCGTTTTGCATTGTGTGTACTGATGGTTCGGGGGGGTCAGGAGCTGCAAGGTCGGAGCCTGACCTTGATTTTTCCTGCACCTACAAGAAATAAAAGTTAGATTCTGCACCAAAAAATTACGAGCTCCGCATCCACACATGGGTACCTGCATGCCGGCAGCAACTTTCCATGGAGATCCGCAAGCTTGATGCGACCCTTTCTACCAAAGTGACGAAACCAGCAGGAAGGTCCGAAAGCATGGCTGTGCCTTGGGCTGACGGGCCTAGGACTTATGAGCTCGTACGGGGTTTGCTCGTGATCTGCCCAGGCCGCGACGCAACGAAACAACACGAGAGTACCCGATCTTTTCATGGTCGAGGTTGCAGCTGGATTTCAGCGCTTCCGGATACTGAAGCTCTATGATACGTGTGCTTCCCTGGATAATTTGCACAATCTCCTCGCGCCCTCTGGCAAGGGCGTGCTGCAGCGGTGTGACGACCGTTTTACGGCCAGAATCAAGCAGCTTGTACTCTCTGCCAACATCGGCACGGGACTCCACAAGAAGGCGCACCATTTCAGCGTCGTCATTGCAAATAGCTTCTTTAAGAATCGGGCCTCCTCCATCTCTCTCAAACGAAGCATCTATGTCGGCACGGATGCCGAGCAGCAAGCGCGCCATCTCGATGTTGCCTTCCCTGACTGATGCCCCCAGAGGTGTCACCGAAAACTCATTATCACGACCATTCATGTCAGCGCCAGCTTCCAGCAGCCAGTGTACTATCTTCGAGTCGGCACGTCGGACTGCTCCAACAAGAACACCTGCGCCAAGGCGAGTGCCAGCATCCAAATAAAAGCGAAGCATCTCCGAAGGCACAGCTTCCACAAACTCAAGAGTCATTTTATCTTCTTTAGCTGTAAGTGGGCCGGGAACTCCTCGACTCCGGTGCTCTGCCAGCAGCAGCTGGGCGACTTCCATGTGCCCACGCAACGGCAACATCGCCAGGTCGAAAGGCCAAAGATCGACGGGCTCAGATTTGCGGTCGTGCTCTACGCCGCAGGCTGAGTACAGCGGGGCACCTGCTTGCAAGAGCAACCTAACAATTTCAACATGACCCTCAGCACATGCGGCACCCAGAGGTGAGGTTGCGAAGGTGTCCAAAAAATCCAGTACATAGCCCTTGCAGGGCTGCTCACAAGATGCCCTAGCCTCCAGCAACAAGCTCACGATTTCGGCATGGCCGAAACGACATGCTAAAACCATGGGCGTCATTCTGTCGTGGCGGCCGCTCAGGACGGGATCAGGGCTTCGGGGCAGTTGCAGCAGCTGCTCAACTTCCTCAACGTCACCGCGTTGAACAGCATCGCCCAGCTTCGCCTCCTGTGACTCCGTGGGTGCGACATACGACATCACCACCAACTGCAACTCGGCCGAATCAAGCACGTCTCCATCCTGTAGCAGCTGATCGGTCCCTGACCGAAGGAGTCGCAACTGAAAGCGCGGGCGCCCAGACAGTTTCGCCAAGTGTTGCTTCAAGCCTCGGATGTCAACAGCTGTGTTTGTGGGCACTAGGTGAACATCACCTGTAGCTGCATTAACGACGCGCACGACGTTGCCCAGGGGAGGCTCTGACATGAGAAGGCGTCGTTCAAACAAGTGGCGCCTTTCGAAAGCAATCTCACTTGGACCCAAATGGCTGCGTGATTGTATCTAGCATTTGCTGTGGATTTCACGCAGCATCATGTGTGGGTCAAGTTGGAAAGAGTTTCCAGACAACCAGACGCAAAAATGTGTGTGTGTATATCTATATCTATATCTAGATCTATATCTATATCTATATATATATACATATATATCTACCTATTATCTATACTTACTTACATATATATATATATCAAACATAGAGCCTGCAACGCACAGAAAAATCTCTGGCCCCACCTCGGCTTCGAGGGCTCCGCGCTCGGCCTTCCGTGGTTTTGGAATAGGTCCAGATTTATAGGCCTAGGTTTAGGTCTAGGGTTTAGGATTAGGGCCAGGGTGTTTAGGGATTTGGTTTTGAAAGTCTTTAGATGTCTTTAGAGATTTGGACTTAGGGGGTTGTGGGTTTTAGTTTTTGGGTGGGATGTAAGGGCTTGGGAGTTTCTGCAAGTGCTCTGGGAACGAAAAAAAAAGCGTATCTACCAGCAAGCCTTTGGACTTGTACTACAACCATGAAGCTGGAACGTGTTGGAGAAAATAACAAAGAACTCCCAAGGAACACCCAAGTGAAGGATAATTTTTTACCCAGAGACTCCAACACGGCTGCATTACGGGGCCTTACCCAAAGCCCACTGCAGGGTACTTGATAGGGAACCCCCCCCATTAAGGGACCTCCTTTCTAGATCTTGCCGGGGATCTGGGTACCAACCTACTCTTAAGCCTCAAACAATACATTCCTCAAGTATAGAACCTTAGAGTCTTCTTAGCTTTAGCTTACACTGGTCAGGAGTTCGGGGTGAGGCGGTATTCAGGATGAACACAGCGGCCCCGAGCTGGCGGAGGCGGGGGGGTTAAACTTAGGGCGCTTGGTTTGTCAGGTTTAGGCCTTAGAGATCTTGCATCCTGATACTCTTTTGATTTTCGACAGTGCTGCGGTTGGATAAATGCTGCTCGCCTTAAGCCCAAAGCCCTCAGAAGCTCCGAAGCCCGAACCCCCTTTTTTTTCACAAGGGACTCGACTGCTGCCCTTATTACTGCCCAGCTTGACCCCGAACCCCCTTGAAACCCGAAACCCAACCCCTGAATCCCTCTAAGCCCCATAGCCATCTACTCTAAACCCTATGTCCTATGTATCCTGAAGCCCTGAGGACTCCAAACCTACCCAAAAACCCTGAGCCCTAAACACAATGAGCGCAAGAAGCCGCAAATCCATGATATATATATATATATATGTGTGTGTATATATATATACACAGATACACGTACACTGTACACACACATGTATATAT